TTCAACTTGCAAAATTTCTAGTGGCTTCAGGATCAAAGAAGTATCATTGAGGACAACTGTCTCAAAACACCCCAGGTGAGACTCCCAGCAGGTTTCCAATCTCAAGCCTCCTCCAAAAGCAGCTCCTGGCAAAGCGGCGACAGTTCCGGTGCTGAAATGCTTTCAACACTGCTAAACCCCAAAGCTTCTCCCGAGGCTTCCACCTACAGTAGACTTTGTAACATAACATTCTCCGAGAAGCCCCATGGCTCACTGCTATTGTGTTCATGGCTCACTGCTATTGTGTTTTGGCCCACCGCAAAAGCAGTGCAGAGGCTGTCTGCCATGACTCAAATACGGAAAGCCCCACACACATCACAATTAAGGCGCGAGACTCTGAGACCATGATAAGTGATGATAGCATCTGCCTCCCTCCATCTCCCGCCAGCCCTTTGGGGATGTTGCCTCGCCGCCCAGGAAAACTGGCGGTGTTGCCTCCTAGAAGCAAGATGCATCTTCTCATTGTGCACGACTTCGAAAGGACCCAACTGGCAAGGGCTCAAGAAAAAAACAAAAACAAGCCTTGCACTTGAAATGACATCCAGCAAGGACAGTCTACATGTCTAAATGCTCGCTCGTCTTTGCCATGTCACTTATTTAAGCTTATATTAAGACCAGTCGAAGTATCGGAAGGCATCAATCACTCAATCCAGGCAGCCAATGGTGCGGTATATTGCTATGATGAACTGGAACTCCCAAATCCTCCATAGTCGTCTCCCCCTCCTAAAGCCCAAAAGCCACAAGCTCAACCCCGATCATAAACACTGTATCCAGCTCATACTTCTTGCTGGCTGAACTCCTCGCCGGGCTGTGCTGCTATTCGAGGTGGGGCCTGGTGGCTAGCATGGATCAGCAGGCGGCTACGGCTAATACTCACGTACAACGTGTATGGATGTTGGGGGCAAATTTGCTGAGCACCAAACGCTTGAGAACGTCATCTTAAGATCCACGGCTATAACCGCCCCACTTGCTGCTCCGTGGGCGAACAGGAGCCAATGCCACCGTTGTGTTCACACTTCTGATCCACTCTCTATAGGGGTCAGCCCTGCCATTTGCTACATGCCATCAAAGCCGCAAGCGCCAGCCAGCCGGGCCAAGCTTCATGCAATTGAAAAGCGGCAGCATGTACCGGATGCATGGGCTTAAACATGCTTGGAACTGCAAGTGCACTGCTAAATCTTGCGGCACTGGCCTGATCCGAACCGGTGAACAACTGTCAGTGAACCCACCATGCAAGCTGCAAGAAATGCCCCGTAGCCGCAGGCCTCGAAATGGTGCATCCTCAGATCTGACATCAGAATCAAAGGCTCTCCTGTTCTGCCCTTCATGCGCTTTTGATACAAGCCGAAAATGCAAGCCCCAGCGTCTCCAGAAAGGATGGCAACTTCGGAGGCATCGCTCGAGCCAACTCGTGCAACGGATTAATGGTCAGCATTTGGAAGCGATTTTCAGCGCTGGTAGAGCATGAGTAGGGCCAAGCACAGCCACAGGGTTTTTGGTTTTGCTGCACTCAGACTGTCAGGCTTTCCATACGCGTTGGCAGCTGTGCGCAGATTCTTGCCTGCCGGTCTGGACAAGCTATCCATTTAGCCATGTGTATGTGCCTTGCCAGCGACTGAATGCGTGCTAGAAAGTAATCAAGGGGAACAGAGCGTAATTTTCAAAGACTGGGCGAAAATCCAGCGGTTGCCATCCTGCCACGTTTTCAACTTTAAACCTTGCACGTCTCGCTTCTTCCACTTAATCACTCTTCCCCCACTGCGCTGCTCCACCCTCTCTCGGCCACAAAGATACCAAATTCCCCTGGGCCAGTCCACCATGAAGCCAGTCAACTCCACATCCCGACGTGTAGGGCCAGATGAGCTCGCAGAAGCACGACAATGCAAAACAAGCTGCTCACAGGAAAGCACCAGCTCCCCGAAGCTGGTTCCGGCACTTGTTTTTGAAGGGTATGGGACCATGTTCCTTTCCACATTGATACCCTCCCTACCAATGCCACAGAATCAGTGCACTGCTGGTTGCTCCGCCGTCTGGAGTTGTTTGGAAATTTCTCATGATGTTGGGGCTGCATTGTTTGAACTGACATGAAAAAACAGGATCCTGACCGAGTAAACTGAACATAGCGCCTGGAAGGCTACCCTTTCTTTCCTGCACAGGTGGCATACTGAGGAGACATCTCGGCCTGCAGGTTCTATTGTAATTGTCTACATAGCTCACATTTCAAACGGTCAGGTGCATGGTGGCCAAGTTCAGCATGGGCGCTGGTTTCGGAGATTGTGCGCTGGTTTTTGAAGACGCCCCCCCCCCCTCCCCCTCTGTTCTCTCCTTGTTTTTCCATTTCTCGAAGCCGAATAAATTGAAGGTGCCAGGATAACACTTGGATTTCAAACAGGGTTTAGCAACAAGTCGCTTGCCCAAAGCACCCGACCCCAACTTCACGTAGGCTGAAGGCTGCACTTTTTTCTGACAGGTGCGCCAGTCCACAATGGCGCAATGACCGTGCAGCTGGAGTACACCCAGACGGTTGCCATCGGTTGCCTGCGCAAGGCCGACGAGCAAAACAGCAGGGCTCAGGATCAAAGCTATCTCCCAATGACCATGCAGAAAATTACCTGACGCTTAAGTCAGGGTTGACGGGCTCCTTGGATGAAAGCCTGCCGGTTCATGCTGTCCCTGCTTAGCCAACTCCTCAAATCTAGGGTCGCGGCTCATGTACAAGTAGGGGTAACATGGGGCAAGATTTCTGGGGGATGCCGCAAAAACATGGGAAAATTCCATGCCCCAAAGCAATGTCAAGCTAACATGCATGGACGCAGACACACTAGAAAGTGGGACGCTTTATGAGCGACTTGGAGCCGAAAAAGCGCTCTTTGCAAAGTAACGTTGCCCTCACTTCTTCTGACTTACCTGTTCGTTGACAACTTCTTTGAGACTTACGTTGACTTTGAATTTTACGACTGATACTACACGCATTTCAAACCAGCCCCTCTTTGATGTGTTTCGGTCGTCGATTTAGAAGGCTCGGCCCATTGTCTGGAGACTCTCTTGAACGTGTTTCGGCTTGGGGGCCCAAACCGAATCCAAGATCATTCCCTTTGAAATTCATTCAGGGGGCCCTCAGTACTGTGGTAGCCTTGTTGGGGACGCCTGTTTTTGAATTTCTGGGAGCCCCCTTGTTGACAGAGAGCTTATACTAAAGTGAGTGCCACAGTCACATCCTCATCATTGTGCTTTCAGTCCTCATTCCGTATCTTCAGAATCCCCTGTGACTGGTCTGTGCTAAGACTGGCGGTCTGCATCATGCGACCTCATGCGATCTTGCGCCATCCCATGCGATTGCGTACAATCCCGCCATGCGCATATGTGGCCCAGACCGAATTTGTCACTGCCTCGTCAGCTCATGCTCTCTTGTTACATGCCAAAGCATTTCCTAGGCTCCACCAGCTCTGGCTGTTCGAGCATGGGCGTTCTGGTCACCAAATCCGTACAGTGGTTGTGGTTTGGGCCCCGGAAGCTCTGGCGACCATCTGCTTTTGCGCTTGCGGTTGGGCAATATCATAGTCTGGGAGATACGGTGATGGGATGCTCTTGGGATGGACTTTATGACGGTTTGGACATGGATGATGCTCACTGAAGGTAGTCCTAGGGGGATGCGATCATGCGTCATGATGGTGTTGTGGTGATCGGATGCTTTGGGAGACATGGTTCGGGCGCGGATGCTCTGGTCTTCGGATGCTCTCGAGGATGGACGGTTGGACATGGGTACCCTGGTGGCGGGATACACTCCACGTGCTACAGTTTCGGTGTGGATGCTCTGGTGATCGGTTGCTCTCAGAAACTGACTTGGTTTTGGTTTGGGCAAAAGTCAAACTAGCTCTGCATAATCCTGTAATATCAAGAAGCAGCCAAGAAGCTGAAAACGAAACTGCCAAGCAACATGAGGCACAAACAACAAACCTCAAGGCTATTAGCAGAATGGAAGAACCAAAAAGCAAGTGCCATAGCAAGTAATGTTGGACCTCCTTTATTGAACCGGCCCCCTATAATGAGTTTTGGGGCCTGCCTAGTCAGGATCAGGGCAATGATTGCAACGCCCCCTATTTTTTGATGTTGTTGCCCTAAAAATATAGGACGGATTCTCAACAATCCCCTGAAAATCAATCCACAGGGACCTCAGAACCGTGGGATCTCATGGGGCCGTATTGAGGATCCCTCATTTCTTTTTTCGGAGGGCCTTCAACGGGGAGGGGTCCCCCTTATTAAAAAGGGTGCCGCATTATCCAAGAAAGCAAATGGCAGATAGCAAGCATCAGAAGCCCAACGCTGAAATCCAGCAGAGAGATGCAGAGAGTAATGAACTGCAAGTCAAAACAGCGGGCAGAGAATGGCAGAGAACCCGGGCATGTGAACACCGCAAGAATGATATCAGGCCGACTGCTACTACGCTGCTTATTGACAGCCTTCAGAAGCTCCACAGGGCGACATTGCCCTCTGGCTGCCAGAGGTCAGTGTTCCACAGCTGATGAGCAAGTAAGCCGCATCTGCATGCTGCGCAGCTGTGCAAGAAAATGAAATGTAAGATCTAACATGCAAGTCAAGCCTCGAAGATGTGCTGTTGAACGAAGACCTGCCGTTCATTTGCTCACGCGCCTATTTGGTCAACTCTAGTGAGGCTGCTGTACTGCAACGTTACAGTACATATCAACTATTCTTACACTTGGAATCTTGACAGCTACGAGTACAGCAGTATATGGTGACAGCGTGTGTTCATGGCGCATTGCTTTCTTCGCGATGATCCGGTCGCAACGCATCAGAAGGGATCACGGCTGAATCGCTGTGAGAAAGGCCAACGGCCCACGAGGTTTTTGCAATGTGGCTTCACATAGCACGTCAAGTTGTCAGATGTTGTCAGTACTCCCCTGGCCCTGAAGGCAATGGCAAACCTACTGGCGGAATTCGCCTCACATAACTGTGCAGTCCTCATGCACCTCCTTCACTAGTGCATTCCATCCTGTCTCCAGGTCCTTACCCAGCGCAAGCAATGTCAATCGCTGCATTTCAACTCACCCAAGCATGAGCAAGATCCTTCACAAAAGCATGGATCTCTGATTGGTAAGGCCCAATGCGGACATGGGGTTAATTGGGGGGTCTGGAAATGGATTTGTTGCTGTTCAACGTTTATTCTTTGGCTTTCTACAAAGGCATGCTTCCTGGAACGCTCCGATGCCCATGAGAATGGGCAATAGCTTGTGAGTAGGATGAGGTGTCATTCTGCTGTAGCCGCGGCTTGCCAACTCAACCCCTGTGTACATGCATGCACAACTCCGGGCACCGCAAGGTTAATGGGTGCGAGCCTGGAATTTACTTGCCGATCGTCCAATGCAAAGCCGAAGGCCTCACCTACATAACGCCAAGTTCCCAACTGTAATTCAGCAGAAGTGCAAATTCAGGCTTTCGCATAGCGTCGTACTCCCAATCGATGCGAACCTAAGTCACGTCTTCTGTGTTGCAAAGCATTCGATATGTGGCCCAAACTACGGGTCGGCTGCGCCATTGGCTGGTGAACAGTCGAACAGGAATAGCCAATCACAAGCTCATATGAGGTCAGCAGGCAAGCTCTGGCCAGTCTTTGCTCTGAAGCCCTTGACATTGCCTGTCGCGCAAAGCCTTATGCGCACGCGGTGCGGGTGTCGTCTTGCGTGGGCCTTATCTATAATCCTTTCTTGGCGCTTCTGCAGCACATTTGGCTGTGGATCCAAGACCCGTGTTGTCGCGGGCCCCGCCGCCCGCGCCACGTACGCTTTGTCTCGGCCTGTTGTTACATACCTTTATCGCAAGTGCTTGGCACGGGCGTGCCACACAAAAAACTTGTGCAAAGGTGCTTGTCGCAAGCCAGGGAAGACTGTTACAAGCCTGTGCTGCGGAATGGCCGCCCAAGCCTTTTACAAACCCAGTATTTAAAGTCTATCGCAGAAACTACACATTCCGCGGAAGCCTTCAGTGTACCTTTTGCGAGTAGCGCCCGTAGTCGTTTTTGCTTCCGCCTTCCGCGGCTGCTTCCGCGAAGGTTTTTTTCAGCTGGATCCTCGAAAGGGCTTCGAAAACTACAGCAAAAGGTTCCTGCTGAGGCATCCAGGCTCTTTTCGGTTGACTCCTTTCTCTTGGTTAGAGAAGCAAGTTACAGGATCAGTACGGATTAATTACATGACATACAGGAAGTGCCCATAGAAAGGATTCTAGCTGAAGGATGGCATGTTTACTGCGTTCACGCAGAGATTTTCGTAAGGATCAAATTGGGATTTGGTTGCTAGACGCGGCCACAATGACAGCGAGTCATTT